GTCGTGTCGTCGTCGTCGTTGTCGCCGTCGTCGTCGCTGTCGTTGTCGCCACCGCCGTCGTCGTCGTCGTCGTCGTCGTCGCAGTCGTCGTCGTCGTCGTCGTCGTCGTCGTCGTCGTCGTCGTCGTCGTCGTTCGCCGTCGTCGTCGCCATCGCCGTCGCCGTCGCCGTCGTCGGCGAGGATCGAGGATCAGGATTCTTAGACGTGTTCGGACAGTTTGGGCGCTCGGGTGGAAGTGGCTGGGTCCGCTTCGAATTTCTGGCCAGAGCAGGTTCCAGGAGGGGTTTGGGGGTCCAGGTTCCCGAGGGAGGAGGAAGTGACGACGAGGAGGCGAGGGAGGAGGAGGAGGAGGAGGAGGGGGAGGAGGAGGAGGAGGAGGAGGGGGAGGAGGAGGAGGAGGAGGAGTGGTTATCGCGCGCGCCGCCCCTCCGTGCCATGGTCGGATCTCTTGGGGCCTGGAGTGCGCGCCACGCGGAGGACACGATGACGACCAGGGGGAGGGCGGTCAGGAGGTAGAGACGAGGAGGCGAGCGAGGATCAGGAGGAGGAGAGTGGGGAGGGAGAGGAGGAGCAAGAGGAGTTCGATGGGCGGCGGACCTGGGATCTGGTGTCGAGCTGCCTTCGGCCCACCCCGCCACTGTGACGGGGTCGTGGACCAGAGGCCTCTTAGGGGGGCCTGTTTTTTAAGTCGGGCGTGTCCCTCTACAGGAAGAATTTTCAAAGATAGTCAAACACTACTCCAGGGACGATTTTCGTTAGTAGGAGGGATTTTCAAGGATGTTCAAACATTACTCCAGGGACGATTGTTGTTTGTATTTGTTGACAATTGTTGAGCGGCTTTTCGGCTCCGGGGGCCTCTTTGAGGCATATCGGGGATTCTTGGGGGCCGCCCGGAGGCGGTCCCGGGTCTCATCTTCGGGTGGAGGGCTACCAATGACCGTTCGCGTTCCCTTTCTTGGGCCGACTTCGGGGCCCACTGGGCCCTCTTGGAGCGATATTTGGGGGCCTCGTGGGTCGTATCAGACGCTCCGAGGGAAGACTATAACGAGGGCGATCACGTCGTAACTGGAAACGCGCACGTGTCCCAGTGATGTTTCCTTGGGCCCCAGGGCCTCAGAGGTTCAGGCCTGCCCTGGCAGGCCGCCGAGGTTCCCCCCCGGACGGTCCCACGGGTGATGGGCGTGTTTTGCACCACCACCACCACCATAGGTTGGATGGGGAGGAGGAGGAGGAGGAGGAGGAGGAAGAGGAGGAGGAGGAGGAGGAGGAGGACCCCCTCCCCCTCCAACTTATGGTGGTGGTGGTGGAAAACAGGCCCATCAACGGGGGCCGTCCCCAGAGTATGGCAGGGGTCGACGGGGCCGCGCGCGGAGCAGGAGCTGCTCTGGTGTTGCCCGACCCGCCCGCGCAGATGGATCCTCACATACGGTCGGACCGAGGTATAAGATCGAGGTCGTTTCGGGGAGGGTACCCTAATGATCTTCGTGTTTGTTGGATGTTCTTGTGGATCCTTGGGAGGGTAACCTCAGATGTTCTGTTTGTTTTGGCCGACGGAGGGTCTCATGTTCTTGAGGGATGGTTTTCTGGCCTAGGTCCGACTGTACTCACGCGTGGTTCTTCATGACGGCCAGCTGCCGTAACAATCGGGGCTGGCCAGAACCCCCAACAGTGACACGTCGATTATAGTGAATTGTCCGTTTTCCGTTCTCGAGAGGGCGCCGTGGCCGTCCTTTTCCAGGCTTGCGCCCGCCAGGTTTGGGCCTCAGTTCGTTTTCACTAACGTCACGTTTTGCTAAAGGGGGGTCTGTCCATCCCCGAAACAAAAACTTTCAGCCACGCGCAGAGGGGGGGTCGGGGGTAGAGGGGAGTGGCTTCTCAGAAGCACCCCGGCTTCTTGGAAGGCGGGCCTTGTGTGTGGATGTAAGGCGGGCGCCCTCTACGAAGCAGCCTCCTTCTGAGAAGCCCTATCCCCTCCCTCCACCCCCTTGGTCGCGCCGCCAAAACGTGTACTCCTTCGTCCATAATCGAGTGGGGGGGGTAACATTTTTGGGGGGGGTCTGATTTCAGCTGTTTCGGGCGGGTCGGCAAAGGGCCGCCCTTTCATGGATGGTCTGGGGGGGGGTCGAACACTTCTCGTCTGGGAGGGTTAGCGACCCCCTCCCTTTTGATGACGAGACCTGGAGCACTTCGATGGGACATCACGCGTCTTTTACGGCCACGGGTAGCCATGTAAAAAAAATATCCCGGCAAAGCAACCTAACAGCGATATGTAGAAGCATATCTGAAAGCATTCCCCTTAAGATTCAGATGAAAATCCAGTTGTAGAATTCTGCTGTTCTCGCAGTCGTAGTCGCATTCGCGATGACAGTCGCAGCGGCAACGGCAGTCGCAGTCACAGCCTCAGCCTCAGCCTGCCTCAGCCTCAGCCTCAGCCTGCCTCAGCCTCAGCCTGCCTCAGCCAGCCTCAGCCTGCTTCAGCCTCAGCCTCAGTCTGCCTCCAGCCTCGGCCTCAGCCTCAGCCTGCCTCAGCCTCAGCCTGCATCAGCCTCAGCCTCAGCCTCTGCCTCAGCCTCAGCCTCAGCTCAGCTCAGTCTGCTTCCTCAGTCTGCCTTCAGCCTCGGCCTCAGCCTCAGCCTGCCTCAGCCTCAGCCTGCCTCGGCCGCAGCATCAGCCTGCCTCAGCATTCAAAATGTGGCCCAGGAATGGAGTTCTGGGAACTAGAAGAACACGAAGTGGCCTACAGTTGGCTCCGGGCATTCAAAATCATGCCCAGGAATGGAGTTCTGGGAACTTGAAGAGCACGAAGTGGCCTACAGTTGGCTCCGGGCATCCAAAATGTGGCCCGGGAATGGAGTTCTGGGAACTCGAAGAGCACGAAGTGGCCTACAGTTGGCTCCGGGCACTCAAAATGTAGCCCGGGAATGGAGTTCTGGGAGGTCGAAGAGCACGAAGTGTGTGACTGTTGACGAAAAACGAGCCCGGCTCTGTTCCCGGTTCTCCAGAATGTGGCCCGGGAATGGAGTTCTGGGAGGTCGAAGAGCACGAAGTGTGTGACTGTTGGCGAAAAACGATTCCCGGTTCTCCTCCCCGGCACCCGCCCAGACCCCCCTGAGGAGTCATGATGCTCTCTTTTGACCCTATTAGAAACCTATCAGCAAACGCTGTTAGGTAACTTCCCATATGGGAGGGTTGTGACCCCCTCCCTTTTGATGACGAGACCTGGAGCACTTCGATGGGACAGCACGCGTCTTTTCCGGCCACCGGTAGCCCTGCAAAAAGAATGTGGGATGCTTCGCCCGCCCGGCCCACCCCTTGGGGGGGCATCCCGCGCCCCGCCCGGGCCCGCCCGTGGGACCCAGCCCCCCCTCGAGCCGTGGCAAGACGCCACGACGGAAGGTTTTTGCATGTTGATTCTGCCTCTGGGGGCCCTCGCAGGGCGCGTTTCGATTCTTACGATTCGATTCGACTCGATTTCGATGTATTCCGATTCCGATTCGATTCGATTTCGGATTCCGATGTGGATTCCGATTTCTTATTGGAGGCATACTGGCCTGCCGATTTCCGCCGATTCGACTTTTCCCGATTCGGCTGCCGATTTCCGTCGATCCGATTCATGTCGATTGCCGATCCGATTTATCGATTCGATTCTGGGCTCTCCTGCCCTCGGGACCGTCCGAACACGACTTAGAACGAAAAACCGTTCCCGACGAAAGGGTCGAGACTTCTTGGGTTCGACTCGGGCGGGTGGCAATGGGGGGTGACCCAGCCAGAATGGGGGGGGGGAGAAAAGGGTTCCAAATGGGGCCCGCAAGGGCCTCCTTTGGAGCCAGCAGGGGCTTACAAGAGGCCCTAATGGTCCCCGTTAGTGCTTTTTGTTGTCCCCCCCAATTGTCGGGTTGACCCAAGCGGGAGTCCAGCGACAAAGGGGTGGTGCAATAGACTTGGTGCAATAGATTTGTAGGGTTGCAATACATTTGGGGCGTGCAGTACATTCCAGGGCAGGGTGCAAATGTATTCTTGGATTTTTGCGTGCAATCAATTAGTTGCAATACACTGCAATCCCATTCTCTGGCGCAGTACATTTGCAATACAATTGCCCCAAATCTATTGCACCACCCCCTTGCAGTTTGACCCCCTTTTGGGTCACCCCCCATTTGAGCCACCCCCCCGCTTCCACCCGCCCGATTGGGTTCCGACGTCATGAAACAATCAGGAGGTCGGGGGCCTGGGCAGTGCCCGCTCAGCCCGCCCGTCGTCCCCCGCCGGGGTGGCACCCGGGAACTGGCACGCGAGGAGGGCACGCGCCCCGGAGAGCGCGCGAGAGCTCCCGGGCACCCTGGGGGGGGGGCTGGGCCCGTCTGGAGGGTTTCTCCGAAGGCCTTAGGCGAACCGTCCTCCTCCTTCTCCTCCTCCTCCTCCTCGTCCTCCTCCTCCTCCTTCCTCCTCCTCCATTTCCTCCTCCCCCTCCGCCTCCTCCTAGGTGGCTTGGCACCGTGGCCCCCGCCCCACGCCCCCCCGCAGCCATTTTGCCTGCGGGCGGGCGCCGCGGGGCCCGCGCCATAGCCCCCGCGCCGGCGGCCCGCAGCGTGCGGGCGCCTGCACATCGTGCTCTCCTGGGTGGCGCTGGCTGCTGCGCTTGGCCGCGGCCCCCGCCAGGCGTGCTGGGCATCACGGCGACCGCAGGAGCGCCCGTGGCATGGCCCAGCAGCAGCCCAGGCAGGCTGCGGCCCCGCCCCAGCAGCCCAACTGGCCATGTGCTGCGTCGAGGCTTTGCGGGTTCCGCAGCAACTTCCCCAGCCGCGACACGTGCTGGAAGTGCGGCAGGGACCGCCTCGGCCGCCTGGTCCGCGAGTCGCCCGCCTCATCTGAGCAGGGCGGGAGGTCGGCATCTGCGAGCCGTCGCCGTCGCTCTGGCCCTCCTCCTCGCGGGCGTGCTGGTCCTCCTGGTGGGGCAGCCCAAGGAGAACCTGCTGGGCCTGCAGTCGTGCGCGCCAGGCAAGGACTGGCGGCGCTCCAGAAGCTTGGCTACGCCGACGAGCACCCGCTCATCCAGGCGGCGCGGCAGGAGCTCGCCACCCTGGAGGCTGAAGAGCGTCGCGCTCAGCCCCCTGAGCAGCTCTTGGTCTCCCTCCAGAAGCGTGTGGAGGTGGCGCGGGCTAGAGCCTCTCAGCTGGCGGACGACCTCGGCGAGGCCATCGCGAGGGTCGACGACCTTCGCAGGCAGCAGGGTGTGGCCGACATGGAGGTCAAGAACCTGGAGGTGGAGGTCCAGGCTGCCCAGCGCGCCGTGGCGGCCTCGGCGGCGGGCTCCAGTGGCGTCGACTTGGCAGCCCTCGCCACCACGTTGGTGGGCCTCCAGGCCACGCTCGCCAGTGCCCCTGCACGCGTCGCCAGTGGGCAGGGTATCACAGTCTTGGAGGCGATCGGGCAGCAGGTTGCAGCGCTTGGCACAGCGTTCCCCGCCGCCTCAGCCCTCGTGGCTTCAGGTGCTGCGGCTGCCCCCGTTGCCGCTGGAGCAGGAGGCCCGCCAGGCTCCCCGCCAGCTGCCACAGCTGCCACGGCTCCCCCTGCCGCGGCGCTGCCTCCTGGCGCTGCCCACGCGTTTCGCGCTGGCGGGGGAACCGCCGCTGCAGCCTGGGAAGCCGCAGGTGAGGCCGACATGGAAGGCTAGACACCGCGGGCGTCGTGGCAGCGCCCGCGTGAAGGCCTCTTTCGTCACCTACAACGGCTCGTCCTGGGCTTCGTGCAGGGAGTTTCTGACCTACTGCGACCTTGGCATCCAGGTGGTGGCGGCCCAGGAGTTGCGCATCGATGGTGATGACCGTCGGCGCGCTGAAGGCTGGGCTGCACGGGCTGGGTGGCATGCTATTATTTCATCTTGCAGACGTCTGGAGTCGGGCCGCCCGTCTGCTGGAGTCGGCCTTTTCGTTCGACGTCACATCAGCGTGACGGTGCTGCCAGGCTTGCGAGATTTTGACCTGATTCCGAGCTTTTGTGTGGCCTGTCATGCCGATTTTGGCATCAAAGGTGGGCTTGTGCTGTTGTCTTGCTACTTTGAGGTGGGACGATGGAATGACGTGAATGTGATGCGGCTCTACGACATTGCTACGGCGCTGCGGGGTTGGAACAGGCCGTTTCTTGCGGCGGGGGATTTCAACTGCGTTCCGAAGCACCTCTTGGAGTATGGCTTCCTGGACTTCATTCCTGCAGCAGTGGTCGCGAGGCCTCCCGATCCTACAGGGCATCATCCTGTTGGCACGTGCCGCAGTGCTAAAGGAGCCTACACGACCATCGACTACTGGCTGGCCAGCTTGTCTGTCGCGGGATCGATGGCCAAGCCCCACCCTGTGGAGGGATGGCCTGCATCGCCACACTTCCCTATGCTGACGTCCCTGGGCGCACGGGCTAAGGCTGTCAAGTTCCTCGTCTTGCGGGCGCCGAAGGCTTTCCCGAAGGCAGCCCCGACTGAGGACATCACGCCTGTGCTGGCAGCTGGCACCCGCGATCTCATCGAGGATGATGTAGCACTGGGAGGAGCTTCGAGTCCTGCTCAGGCTCAGGCGAGGCCGGATCGCTTGTACGCTGAGTTCGTGAATGTCGTGGATGAGGAGCTGCTTGTGCGGTATGGCATCCCTGTCAGCGACGCTCCTCGCTACTGCGGCCGTGCTGACAAGGTGGCCTACTGCTGGCGTCATGCTAGGGGAGCGCCTGCAGCTGCTAGGCCTGCTGCACCCCCCGACGCTCGACGTGCTCGACGACTGGCCCAGGCGACGGACGACGCGGTGCGTGCTGGCCTGCAACCTCTGGATTTGCTTCGGCGCCTGGACAGGCTTGTCTCTCTGGGCGCCGAAAGGTCTTTTCGATCGCTCGAGTGCCAGCACGTGGTGGCCACGCTGCGTGGCGTTCTGCCGCTGGCACGAGAGGTTGTGGAGGCGTCCCCCAGTGCATTCCAGGAGCTGCTGGATCGCGCGGCCTTGGTACAGCCAGGTGGCCACGCTGCGAGGCATGCTGCTGATCTTGGGATGATGGGTCTCGGTGGCATTCAGCGCCTGCTGTTGGATTCGGTTTATTTTGTCGTGGGTTGGCTTCGAACCTATGCCGACGGCCTGGAGCAGGAGGCGATGGCTGAGCGCAGGCGGGACTATGCGCGATGGGCTGCCAACTGTCGCGAGTCTCGCATCAAGCCGCTGTTCAGCTTCACTAAGCCGCCTGGTGTTCCCCATTCCCAAGTGTTTCGGCATCAGAGGCCCTCCGCCCTGGCTCAGGATGTTGCCGATGATCAAATGGATGGTTGGTCGGGCATCTGGAATGCGCGCCCTGCCTCTGAGGCCCCCACCAGTGGTCATGTGCATGGAGCGGCTGATGGGCCCGACGACTACGTGGTGAGGCACCTCGCGGATTTCCCTGACACGGCCCAGCTCTTTGAGGATATTCGGCGTTTGCCCCGCGCCTCCTTGCCCGTGCCGAAGATTGGGCAGTTGCGTGCGGCAGCTAAGTCCTTCAAGTGGCATGCGTGGCAGGGTGCTGATCGGCTTGCCCCTCGTTCTCTCAGCCTGCTCACTGACGAGACCCTCTCGCTGCTGGTGTATGTGCTTTGGCTGGCGGAGCACTGGGAGCGCTGGCCCACGCAGATGGCTGCCGTCCACATCGTGCTCCTGGCGAAGCCCAAAGGTGGATGGCGGCCCATCGCGCTCTTGCAGGCGACCTACCGCGTGTGGTCGCAGGTCCGCAGCGGGCAGCTGCGGACTTGGCTGCTGGAGCACGACAGGCCTTTCTTCGCCCTGGCCTCTGGCAAGACCACTCTTGATGTGGCCTCAAGGGCCTTGGTGAGGGCAGAGGCTGCACTGGCGGTCGAGGATGGCGTCGTCACGGCCATTGCTGATATCGAGAAGTGCTTCGACCGCATCTGTTGGCGGAAGCTGGTGGCTGCGGCGGCCAAGCATGGGCTTCCGCGCCAGCTGATATCATGTGCCTTGGTAATGTACCGTGCGCCTCGCAGGTTGGTGTGGCAGCAGGCTACGTCGTATGCGGTTACGGTATCCCAAGGAGTGCTGCCAGGCTGCAAGTTCGCGATGGCCATGGTGCAGCTACTGATGCTCGCGTCCTTGGATGATTCCGTATGCACGGTGGAGCTCGGCATCCCTGCGCAGGTGGGTTTCTCGTTTTCGTTGGACGCTTTCGCGGATGACCTTACCCTGCAGGTGGTGGCCAGGCGGACGGATTTGTGCAGGGTCGCCACCGACGCTGTGGCCTTGCTCTGCGACACCCTGCTGGATCTTGGCCTTCCCGTGGCGAAGTCAAAGACCTTCCTCACTGCGTCTGACGACTCTACCGCCCCCGCCGTGGCTCGGCTTTTGCGGAGATACGGTTTCCAGGCCAGGTCCTGGTTGGAGGTCCTAGGCCTGGAGGTGACTGCTGGCAAGAGCGTTCGTGCTCGTGTGCTTCGGGGTCGGGTCGGGCGTGTCTCGAAGCGGGCCAGGCACTTCAGGAGGCTTAGTCATCTCGGGGCGAAGTTCAGGCAGGTTCCCAAGGCTGCAGTCGGCCCAGCTATCACTGACGGTTTGGGCATTGTGGGAGCTGGGCCGCACCTTGTCAAGCGAATGACCTCCCTGGCGAAGCTGGGCTGGAGTGCCATTCCCTCGGGGGCTTCGCACTGGATCGCTTCTATGTTGGAGGACGGCTTTGAATCTCAACCAGCCACGATGGCCATTGTTGGACCTGTGTTCAACTGGGCGTTAATGATTCAGTCGGGTGAAGTTGATCACTCCACGTTGCAGACGGCATGGCGCTCTCAGTTTTGGAAGGTGGCCTCAGTGGATTTGCGTGTGAGCTGGAAGCTGGTGGCGGGCCCCGCGGGTGCTTTTGCGCGGTCTGTTACGTACCTGGGCTGGACTGTTTCCTCCGCATTTTGTGTGCGTACTCGTGCTGGTGTTACTTTGGACTTACGTGAGGTGGCGCCGTCTGGTGTCAAATGGCTGGCGCTCAAGGACTTTGAGGTCGTGGGCTGGTACCAGTGGGCTGCCAGGCCAGAGGTGATGCCAGAGTTGGAAGGCCCGTCTCACGAGGACCCTCCGGGAGCGTGGTTGGGGCCCATACGTGCTTTGCTTCGCGCGAGCCCCAGGGCCACGCGCTGGGTATTGGATCCGCTCGCTCGGGCTGCACTACGCACCGCGGTCGTGGGGGGCCACTTCACGCAGAAGCGATTGCATCGTCATGCTTACGCTCATTCCCCCGACTGCAGGAACGGCCCTGGTGTTGACGGAACGGCTCACCACAGGTATTGGAGGTGCCACGCGTTTGATGACGTTCGTGAGTTTGCTGTTTCTGATGCCACCCTGGATGCGGCAAGGAGGGCACCACCTGGGGACTAGCTCTACTCTCGCGGGCTGTACCCCAACTCCTTTCTGCCAGCTTTGCCGCCCAGGAATGATACGGGCATTTGGTGTTATGATCGTGGAGCTCGGTCTGAAGGACACTTTGTCGTCACAGGCTCGGTGTTCACTGACGGTTCGTGCAAGAAGTTGCTCCACTGGGATGATGCTGACCGTGCGGGCTGGGGTTTCGTGGTTGTGGGTGATTCTCGCTACTACGGAGCAGTCTTTGGGCCGCTTCCTGGCCATCGTCAGACATCAGCTCGAGGCGAGCTATTCGCTGTGATTCAGGTGCTGTCCGTCGGCGTGGCCCCGCTCCACATCTACACGGACTACTTGCCACTGCTTGAGGGGCTGGCGCGCGGCAAGCGCTGGTGCCTCAATCCGAGGCGTGAGAATGTCGATCTATGGCGTCGCCTTTTTCACCAGCTTGAGGATCACGGAGGTTTTACCCTTTCTGGTGACCTGGAAGTGCCGGTTCTTTTCTCGTACGTCAAGGGCCACTCTTCTGAGGACTCCTGGCATCGACGCTGCAATGATCTCGCTGATCAAGCGGCGAAGAGGGGTCGGCAGGTGCACGACCTTCCTCGGGGCGTGGTCGAGAGGTACACCGACTCGCTGGCTACGCTCAAGTCTATCGCGACTTGGATTGCGAACGCCTCCAGGATGATTTTCGACGGCACTGCGGCCCCCGATCGCATGGACGTTCCACGGCGGCGGGACATGGAGCTGCGCGGCCGCTGGGAGCAGCTGGAGGCGGCAGGCGCTGGTGGCGGCAGCGCCGTGAGGGCGCGCCGTGGTGCGGGCAAGGCCGCTGGTGGGCAGGCGTGCCCGCCCCAGCTCCTGCATCGTGTGCGGCTCAGGGGCAGGAAGTATTGCTGTGATCGTTGTTCCGCTTACGCGGTGACTCCGAAAGGTGCTGCTAGGCTTAGGAGGGCTCTTTGTAGGGTCGCGGAGGCGGCGGCCCTCTGGGGCCTCGATGGTGTTTCGCCTGTGCCTTCCTCGGCTGCGGCCCC